ACGTGCTCCAATGAAGTTATATCAAGTTGGTGTACCAATGGAAAGAGTAGCCGTTGACATTGCTGGTCCTCTGCCCCAAACTCGTGCTGGAAACAAGTACATTTGTGTGGTGATAGATTATTTCACCAAGTGCAATACTAAATCAGGCTATTAGTGATTTCTTCTTCAGATTTGGTATGCCATATGAACTGCATTCAGATCAAGGCTGTAACTTCAAATCAGCTGTGTTCCAAGAATGCTGCAAGTTGTTTAGCATCCGATAGACCAGGACAACGCCACTTCACCCACAGTTCAATGGGATGGTAGAAAAGTACAACTGGACACTGGGACAGGAATTGGCAAAGTTTTGTAATAGCCGCCAAGATGACTGGGATGTCTTACTGCCTCTACTGCTGATGGCCTATAGGACAGCAGAGCATGAAGCAACTGGATACACTCCAGCAAAGTTGATGTTTGGTCGGGAACTTCAGTTGCCAGTGAATCTGTTAACGGGACGCCCACCTCATGAAGAGTTGCCTGAAAATGTGTCAGAGTTTGTGAAAGTGTTATCGGAAAGGATGGATGATATTCACCATCAAATGCGTTCAAACTTGAAAACGTCTGCTGATTCGATGAAGTTATCTTATGATAAGAGATCTACTGAAGTCAGCTTTGTACCAGGAGACAAGGTGTAGTTGTATAATCCCAGGAAGACCAAAGGGAAGTCTCCCAAGTTGTCTTCTCCATGGGAAGGCCCATATGACATAGTGGATCATCTCTCAGACGTGACTTTCCAGAAAAAATGTGGTCGGCAAGGTAAGCCAAAGGTCCAGGACATTTCAGTTGGGATGAAGTGAACAACAGAACAAATGACGCTGCTGAAGACGTATCATCTGAAAAAGCCACTGTCGAAGAAGAAACTCTTGATGAAGTTATTACCACTGATGTGACTGTTATCAGTGATAGGACATTTCCTGATGAAGCAGATGAACCCCACATGAAGCAGAAGCCAACGAGGTGGAGACCAGTACAGAAGATACGTCCCGTAAAATTAAGAGATTTTGTTGAATTTTAATGTTGAGTTTGTAAATTCTGTACATTTAATTAAGTTATTGTTAATTGTTTATTGGTTTAATGTAAGTGGCTATTGTTCGGGACGAACAATACTAAGGAAGGGGCAGTGTTACGACAGCGGTAGTCACGTGACGCTGGTAACACGTTATGATATTCTAGAAGATTCACAAAGAAACGAGATGTACACTTTTATATATAAGACTGGTAATAAGTGACGGCAACAATGTAATTGAACTGCAGACAGAGATAGAAACTGACAATTGAGTCGAACGAGCACATGAGTCGTTTGTTGTGAATTATAGGGTGTGTTTAACTTAAAGTGACTGTGGAAGTTAAGTGTATTGCAAGTTTTATTGGGAAAGAATAAACTAGTTTTATTTAAGAAAGGACTTGTATAGCTAAAGTTTCAACCCAAAAGAAATTATACGGGAAATTAACAAATGAGCAGATACGTAACAATATCAATAATCTATGATCCCAAGCATATTCTCTAATTCAAAGACAATGTCATTAAAATACTTGACATTTATATATTAATTCTTTATATGTCGACAAAAAAAACTACCTGAGTTGTTTTCACATGTTGAATATTTATGGTTGTTTTCAAAATGAATCTTAATAATTTTTCTTTAAGTCTGTTTAACCACAACATAGAAATACCCTTCCTGCTTTAACATACTGTATGTTCCTATATAGTAACTTGATCAACAAATCTTTTTTTTCTAAAGGGCTAAGGAATTAAATATGTAGAGTGTTAAATGTAAAGAGTACATTTGATTATCATCCAAGAAACTGTATTTTCTTTAACTGAGATTGTGTCCATCTCTTAACACAGATGTATTAATTATATATGAAACTTTATAGCTTCTCTGCAAAAGATATATCTTGCCAATATGATATCAAATCATGTATTCAAAATATGAATATAATAACATATATTGTGATAAGGTTTAACAGAGATAAAAGATGCTTGTGATGGTGTAGCTGAAGCATATCACAAAACTACATGTCCTAAAAATATTTCTAAACAGTGATGTTAACTTACGCTTTTAAGCAAATCATTCTCAATGTCAGTAGTCCAAGAATCATCAGAATTTTTGGAAGCAGGAAAGCTCTTTCTTCTATGGTAAAATATAAATATATTATCAACACTACAATTTGAGTTATCCTAGAAATTTTAATTATGTCTCTCAACATGAAAAATCTCTGAATCAATAACAGCTTTTTGCAAATTGCTGGATGTGGGAAAACATTAGCAGGTGCACTTAGAAATTAACAAAATGTAAAGGATAATTTTTATGTCATTAAAGCAAAAAGTAATTAATTTACTAGGCAGCTAAAACTAAGATTTTGATAAAAACATATAATGTAAAAAAAGCCCTCAAAACATTGTTTTATCTTTCAGTGTTATTATTATTATATTATAACCTTATTATATAAATACATGCTGAATGCATTATTGTCAAACAATGAAAATGTAGTACAGTTTACTCATAAGTGCTAGCTTTTTTATACATTTGTCTTCTTATATTTAAGATAGAAATATTGTTAACAAAATGACATCTACATAGACATATACCTATCTAACATTCCCTTCACTATTTCATATTTGGCAGTCCTTCAACATTATGAAACTGGAACTAAAATCACAAAATATCAACTAATAAGCTTCATACAAGATATGTTATAATCTATTTGTAGCTGTAGTTTTGTATTTCATGATCCTATTTTTATTTATCTATATCTAATTTTATGCATGCTTCTCTACCTGCCACCTTATATCTGTTTACTTAGTTATCTATCCATATATTTTAGTAACTAGCTAAATACTCTATTTATTTAGAAATAAATAAACTCATACTGAAAAATGTACTTACTTTGGACTTTTTTCTTCTGTCCATTTTGCTAGATATACAGATTTAGATATTTTGGAAGGGCATGACTGCTTGGTATCGGAGAAAGAGGGGAACTCTGCATAAAAATCCTGTCTACGATTGGTGCCATCACTTCTTACTACAGAGCCTAGTGAGACTGACTTATGCAAGTTCTGATGAAATGTGATAGAAGAGGCACCCTCTAGTCTGAGCAAATCTAAAAAGTAGTCAGTCATATTACTGTAGTTTCATAAATTGTATAGTTTAACGGATTTCATGTGCCAACGTTTTGCATTCAGTGAAGCATTTATTTATAAATAACACCACAGAATCAACAATAAGTATAAACTTAACACTTAAATTATGGCAGTGATAAATATGAAGCAAGTAGTAAGAAACAACACCTGGTACTTTAAGAATATTCTATCTCAAATATAATTCAATTAACCTTGTAGACACTGATTTTGGTGTAACAATGATCTGCAGTATTTAGAGAACCACTGATGCAGTAAATATACACAAAATATTTACTCTAAACATCCATTTTTATCCAAGCAAAAATATAACCTAAATGTTTTATCCATTTTCTAGGACAAGATATGAAAGCACTTATAATAAAAAATGAGAAACAGAACTAGAAGGTACCACTTAATCACTTCATACTTTATAAAACAGAGATTTATCAGTAGTGGGACCATACTCTTCATTGTTTTTTTTTTGTTTTTGCACATCTGCCCAATCACATGAAATAATACCCACATAAAAGAAGGAGAAATATAAAATATATATACAAAAAAATGTATACAGAAATGATGATAAAACATGTATTTTTGGACTTTTCTAAGATAGAACAAAGCACCTCTAACATTGACAGAGAAACACTCACTTAAAAATAATAATTTTATTCCCGACTAACTTCTTTTTCTAAAGATCTTGTTAAAAATCTGAATACTTCCACTTCTTTATTTATGAGTGCTTGATATTCTTCCTGTGTTTATGTTTTTATCATCTTGTATATTTATATCCTTAAAAGTTATTTAGTGACCATACTTGTCATTATAGAGTGACTAATATTATAATTGGTTCATTTATAATATTCATAAATATGATAGATTCAACATGAAAAACTGAAGTTTATGCTACATAATCTGATCAGAGTTATCTCTAGCATACTAAATATTGAATGTAAGGTAGAAGTGTGAAACTTTAATTATGGTTACACTAGACACTTCACTGATACTAACAGTTGCTAACATTAAATGTATGGCTCAGTTTTTAACTTTTAATTTTAATGGTTTGACAGTCTGATGTGCTCTTATTTAAGATTTCAGTTATGTTTCAAAGCATGAATAGTATTATACTGATAATTTCTAGTTATTTTTACCCTTTATATTTTTATATCAATAGGTAATTTTTTTATTATTACTTCAATCTCACTGCCCAAATTCTGACTTTTAGTTATCTTCATATCTATAAACTTATATGGATAAGTAATGGTTTATAACTTTAAATATATTCATTTCTAATGTCACACACTTGCTTTAGACGTCTAAAATAGTTTTCATTTTATAGTAAATTTTGTTAATTAGTGATAAGTTTAATTCCTTATTATAAAGAACCTGAAAGTTTTTATCCTGTTTAAATGAGTAAAATAATTCTACTAATTCCCACTGAAGCCACAAAAGATATCAGAAAGAAACACAGTGAATCAGGCAACTATATGTTTGAAAAGTTCAGTATCATAAGTTTCAAGCAGCAAGAAGGTATATTTTGCAACCCAATAATTAATCCAACACACCTTCAGGACTAAGTTTTCTCCAATAGTTTTCTTTTCCACCCATTGAAGCTGGAGCTTCATCCAAGCGACTTTTCCAGTAAAGGCAGTCTTGTGGAGTTTTTAAAACATGAAAAGAAGACCTGTTTGTCTCATATTTATTTTGATATCTTAGATGGCACTGAAAGGCATTTTAGGTATATAAATGATTAACTCCTTTCCTTTTTCAATAGAACATTCAGAAATTATGTTTAGTAAAGTGGAATGTTCATGACTGAAAATTAAAGTTGTACTTCATTTATGGATTTATTAATCTAGTACTCTGTTATGTTAACTTATGAAATATATTTTACACTTATATAAACATGTAAAATATATTTATTTAACTTAAAAATGTAAGGAAACATATAACTATAAGGTATTATTCATCTATGTTATTAAGCTGTTGTTATAAAAGTTCCTGGTGATAGATATGAAAATCACAATCAACATGATATCTGTACACATAACACACAAATTCTGAAGTGATTACTGATGCTAGTGTATTTATATTGTTGTTAATCTAAATGGTTATGTTAGTTTTGCCGGTACTTCTCAAACTTTACGTATTTTATAATGGTGAGAAGTTGTTAGTTCCTTGAAGCATGCCCCCCAGTGGAACAGCGATATGTCTGTGGACTTACAATGCTAGAAACTGGGTTTCAATACCCGTGGTGGGCAGAGCACAGGTAGCCCATTATGTAGCTTTGTGCTTAAATACAAACAACAACAACAACCTAAATAATTCTGTTGCTACAAAGAATACCAATGTTAAGTATCTGAATAAAATTTCAGATTCATGTTAAATTAGTCAATTAATGAAAACGAATTTTCAATATGTTATACTTGCAAATCTATAAGTATTTTGGTGATTATTTTGTGTTAAAAAAATTAACCAGGTTTACACTCTTGGCCATTCAAATATTCAGAAAAAATATTGAACAGCATTTATAGTTGCAGCATAGTAGATCATAGAATGGCTCTGAGTTTTTTTTGTTTTTTTTCAAGTACAAACTTTTAGCTCATAGCTCTGTCACCTCTTGACCAATTTCAGATCTAATTACAGTTTTGGACTCAGGAGGTCAAATCATTTCAATTGATGTATTTTACCACAACCAAAGTCTCACAAATTAATTTACTCTAATCCTGCCAAAAAGAATTTCAATTTGACATAGGCTGGTACAGAAAACCTAATAAGTAATAAAATCAAATTGAGTATATGCGTGCCCCATGCTTGGTATTGTTGGCACACAGAAATATCTCATATATAAAGCTAAGCTTGTGTCTGTTTGTTCACACCTTTCAGCCCCTATAATAGTAGGCCTATAAAGATATGGAATCAGCATACTCAGGTTTAATGTCTGTGATGTCTTATTCTTAGTGTCAATGAAAACTTTGTAATCTAACTTTTTCCACAGAAGGTGGGGAGTTGGACCCCCAGGGGGTGTGACCCCATCTAATTTTGGAAAAACTACCAAATCAGCACATAGTAATACAGGCTGACATAAGGAAGGTCATGATGGGTGTTAGACCCCTCCCCCATCTAATCTATATAAATAAACATCAATATGTGTGTATATATATCTATTCCTTATACATTTCCATATTTCTTGATCAATGAGCAACAAACTTGACACAGTGATACAGGATGATATGAGGAAGGTCATGAGGAGGTGGGGAAAGGTTTCATGGATTAATTTAATCTAATCCTGCCTAAAAAAAATTTCAAGTGCCATGGCTATTGAGGATTCCCTCTTGTTTGCTTAAACACTGCATATAAAATAGTCCAAAAATAAACACAACTAAATTATTAACATGCTCTATATTTCAGTTTTAGGCTTGGCAATACAAGTTTTGGGACAACATGGGACCTATTGGTCCATCTCGGCTGTTCCATCCTCTAAACTAAATTAAAATCATTTTAAAAAATAATCTTAAAGCCAGCCCTTTTCATATACTTATCAAGCTTTTTCTTAAACTCACTTAAATTTAGTGCCTCTACAACATCTGAAGGCCAACCACCCTGTTAAAAAATTAAACTTAGTTGAAGATGACTCCTACCTTGCCAAAATTTATATTTGTGTCCCCTAGTCCTACTATTCTC